GGTCTTTCAGAATCTTTCCTAAATTTAGACTTTTTCAGATCCGTGAGTTTGGAGAGGGGGGTGGCTTCACACACTCCTTTCTGTGCCTCCTGCAAGCACAGAAACTGCCGACATGACTTGCTTTGGGGCCCGGAGTCTTATCAGAATTCTGCATCAGCTTCAAACCCTGCTGTCACTGTCTAACCTGTTCTCCTGGTTAGTTTGTAAAGCTCGCCTGTCTCACGGAGGGGTTGTCAACTGGTAAGTCTCTTCAGGACGCACTGTGAGCGGTGAGGGTCTGGGACAGCTTACCAACAACTTTCTTTCCCAGGGGCCTGAAACCAGCCTGACCCTGTCATGCCCGCTAGCAGGAGGGAGACACACCCTAAGCAAGCAAACCCAGGGCCTGCTTCTAACAGCACAAATATTTCTGCCCTCAGCTTGCAGCACACCAGGATCAAGTTCCCCAAATTCCGTTTAGTTTCGCTGGCTTCTCTATTGAGTTACAAACGGGCCACAAGGGATCTTGGCACCAAAAGCCTCCAAGGAAAAGGCTTTGGCTGAACTTTGCTTCCAGTTCTGCAACATTGTAGGTCCAGATAAGGTTGTGGGTGGCCCATTAATTCTTACTTCACATTGCTCTGAAGTGAGGCTAAACTCTGCCACATTCTAGATTTTCTGCTCTGACTGTAGCAATAAGGAGCAGCCATCTCAAGTCTACACCAAGCTTTCCCAGGAGCCGTCTTTTCTCACCACCTTTCTTCCAGCCATACACTCCTCTAAGAGAAATAGCTCCAGTCTCTTTGAAGACTGCAGTCCGTAGATGTGCGCACCGTCTTGTTGTTCACATGAAAAGGTGAGAAACAGAGGTTTCAATCTTATTCTCAAGCACCCGAGCCACTGAGCCTTTCACCGAAGGGGTTTTGATAAGAACTGCGAGCATATTTTCTTTCCTACTTCAGTGTTCTACTCAGCTTTAACTGTTAACTTTACACAGCCTTGAGTCACCTGAGAGGAAAGCCTCTGAGGAGTAATTGCCTAGATCAGATTGGCCTGTGGGTGTGTCTGTGGGGCATTGTCTTGACTGACAATTGATGTAGGAGGGCCCCGCCCACCGTGGGCAGCATCATTCCCTTACAAAGTGGTCTTGGGCTACACAGGAAAGCAAGCTTATCATGTGCCCAAAAGCAAGTCAGGAAGCGGCGTTCCTCTGTGTTTTCTGCCTCAAGTTCTTGCTGGGGTTCCTACCTTTAATGATGGGCTGAGACCTGGAAGTGTAAGCCTTTCTTCCTGGCCATAACAACAGTGTTTTTATCATGGTAACAGAAAGAAAACTACAACACTCAGGTCACGGTTTGCTTGTGTCGTGCTGTGAGTGTGTGCATGTTTGTGAATGAATGTGTGCGCAGGTGTGCCTGTGCCTCTGTGTGTGTGTTTGTATAAGCAAAGGGTCAGTTTTGAAAGCTCTGTGAAATAAGGGAGTATACTGTCAGTTCTTGATGCTGTTCTCTCTAGGCCTGGCACATACCTGATGCATGGTAACCATCCAGTAGATATTGCATTTGGGGGGGGGGGGGGCCCTTTTTTTTTTTTTTTTTTTTGGAGGAGTGGATGATGTCTGTCTTATTTTATCAAGATGTTTTGTCAGTTCGTTTTTCCTCACTAAACCAAATATGTGAGATAATCAACGTACACAGAAAAAGTGTTTGCTTTGGCTCACAGTTTTGGTGGTACCAGGCCACGTCACTGTTGCTTTCTGGCCTTTAATGGGCAGTAAATTACAGCAGAGCGAAAGCATTCATTCATGTCTTAGTTAGTATTCTCTTATGTGAAAAATGACTTCAATAGACAACTTTCAGGTTTGTTTAGGCTTTTCATCTCAGAAGTTTTAGTCTGTGGTCGGTCAGTCCTGTTGTTTCTGGGCCTTTCCAGGGCAGAAAACCAGGGCGGGAGTGTATGGCAGGGAACTGCTCAGCTCCTGGTGCCCGGTGGCAAACAACAGCAAAAACAACAACAGCAACAGCAGCAGCAACAACAGGAAGCTTTCAATATCCCTTTAAATATGCTCCCCCCAGTGACCCAAATTCTGCCACTAAGCCCCACCTCTTAAATGTTCCAGCCCCCATCACCTCCCAGGCAAGCCACAGGCTTTTTGGGACATTTAAGATCCAAACTGCAGCAGCAATGTCTGATCTCTTCCAATCTCTGAGATCCAGAACATGTACTCCAGGACCTGTCTGACTGTATCCATGGAACCCAGACAGGGCGTCATCCTTTTTTGGATATACCCTGGTGGTTGAGGTTACAGTTCCTGCCTGGACCAGATAGATAAACATAGAACTCATCGGCGTGGTACCCTGCTCTCTGCCTGGCTTCTTCTAGAAGGTTCCTTTAGATATAGATTCTGCTAGCCACACTTGATATATGGCCTCTGACACAGCTCCCTGCTAGCTTTCTCCTCCCTGTGCCTATGTGCAAATCAAGTATCCTTAAAGTGCCTAGTTTCAACCAATTATGTGCACCTATTCTGTTCCCAGGGTGTGTGATCCCTGTACAGTTCTCGCTGACGATTCCAGGTAGTCTGCTCATCTCCTGCCCCTCCTGTCTTTGTGGGCTGCTGGGAGGCAGTCCCCAACCAGGAGGAGAACCATAATCCTTAAATCTAGGAGCTCATATACCAAGTATGATTTGAAGATTGTTGGGAATTCTTAACATGCATGTATCAAAATAAACACAATTCAGCACTTTAAAAGAAAATATTTGAGTATTATTATTATTATTATTATTATTATTATTATTATTATTGAGACAATTTCAAGTTTAGCCAAGTAGGTCTGAAACTCACTAGGAAGATGACACTAGATACAAACTCATGGGAATTCTCCTGTCTCAGAGTTCCAAGGGTTAGGATTATGGGCTGTGTGTCCTCAGTAGGAATGCCCTATGAAAATGCTGACACTCTTTGTCAGACGTTGTCTTAGTCACGGTTTCATTGCTGTGAAGAGACACCATGACCATGGCAGCACTTACAAAGGAAATCATTTAGTTGGGGCTGGCTTACAGTTCAGAGGTTTAGTTCTTAGCATCATGGTGGGAGGCATGACAGCAGGCAGACACAGTGAAGGAGCTGAGAGTTCTACATCTGTCTCTTCCTGTAGGCAGCAGGGAGAGAGAGAAACACTGGGCCTGGCTTGAGCATTGGAGCCTCACTTCCTCCAACAAGGCCACGCCTCCTAATAGAGCCACTCCCTCTGAGCCTGTGGAGACCGTTTTCAGTCAAACCACCTCATGCAGCTTCAGATGTGTAATTGGGGTACAACAGTGAGGTGTGCCGAGCAGATTTTAGACTGGAGTCTGATAGACCTGAGTTCTAACTTCTCATGACTTAGTCTGTGTGATTTTGACAAATTTTCTTCTTCCTCAGTGGGCGCTCTGTCTGTAACACAAATTTGTAAAATGGAGGCGGTAATACATGGCTCCCACATTCATGAACGTTAGATACCGAATACATCCAGCCACAACAGACATTCAACTAGTTACCAGGAGGCTGTGTATGTGTGTGTGTGTGCGTGTGCGCACAGTGTGCACGTGTATGTTCACGTGTGTGTTCCTGTGGATGCATTCCTGTGCAGCACGTCCCAGGGCTGCTGCTGGTGTCCTCCTCTGTTGCTCTGCGAGCTGCCTTTTGCAACAAGAAGGGTAGAAGAAAGCTCTGCTGTGCTAGATCCCCAGTCCCCAGGAGATCGTTTTTCTGACTCTCCCTTCCTAAGAGCCAGGCCCTAGGGAAGAAACTGGCACGGGGGTGGGGGCAGGGGTAATGGTAAAGAGACCGGAGAGGAATGGAAATGAATCTTACAGATTTAAAGTTTGGTCTGTGACTAGTCGCATTGATGAACATTGCTTGACCGGCATTTAAAGCCAGTTATTGGTAAAATAGGAACCTTTTAAAAACTTATATCATTTGCACTTTACACAGTCCCTTGTGAAGATGTGAAAGCCATCACCACCTGGGGCTTGGCCATCTGACTGTGCCATTGGGCGCTTTTGAAAAGGAGGCGCTTCTTACAGGCACAACGGTGCCTGCCTATGATCCCAGCGCTAGGGGGATAGAAGTAGGAAGTTCAGAAGTTCGAGGTTAGCCTTGGCTACATGAGACACTGTTTTAAACAACAAAAAATTACAACAACAAACCCAGAAAACCTTAAGAAACCCACCAACCAACCAAAGTAGTGAAACAATTAAGATCCAACAAATGAATTCAACGAGATCGATACACAAAAGTCCAGTGCATAGGTATTTTACTTACTTTTAACTTTTTATTTAACAATAAAAGAAAATTAATTTAAGCAACTCCAGATTAACTCCTCTTACACCAGCCGGCAAAGGATGTAGCAGGAATTGATTTAAGGACTCTTGGTAACTGTGGTTCAGGACTACAGCTGGGCTCCATGGCCAAGCCAGGGCACAGCAAAGCCATCTTTCCTGTTGCTTTTCTCTTCTCTGCTCTGTAGTGGAGACACAGACCCTAGTCCAGCTGTACTGCACTGTGATTACCCGGATGTGGAGTCTCTTGTGTTGGTGGGGGACAGGACCTCAAAACACGTTTCAGAAGATGGAGCCGCCGCGCACGGTTCCCGACTTAGAACAACGGCCGGAGGCGGAGGTATCACGTCTGTCTCTTCGTAACAACTAGTGCTTTGTCTTCTTCCTGGAGACCTGGCCTTCTCACTTGCATTTTGGCCTTTCTTCACTTTTGGAGTTGCTATTACGAACACTATAACGACCCCATCCCAGGGCCAGGTACCCACCGGATGGAGCTTTAAATTCGATCAGAACAAACCGGGACATGCAATTATTTGGGATCCTCAGGACAAGCAGCAGCAAACAGTCACCCTAACCTGCAGCCTTACAACGGCTCAAGTCTCCCCTAGGCAGGGTGGGGGTGGGGAGGGGAGAGACAGGCCACGCCGCGAGCTGGTGAGCCTGGTCATCCTGCCGCGGGGGTCAGTCGAGTGGCTCCCCTATTTCCCGGACAGCTGTTTGTGCAGTTTGGGCACGTAGTCATCCCACTCGGCCTGGTAACACGTGCCGGCCACCGGGGTTCCCAGGTGGTACTTCTTGCGGAAGGCCGCCGCTCTGAACTTGCCGCGGTGGTCTCCAGATCGGTTGCTGAGGATGGGTTCGTCGCACCTGAGTGGCTTGTCCTGCTCGTACACCAGCCAGACGTAGCGATGAAGGCCGGTGCCGCTGGGGGGCCCGGAGCCCACGTAATCTGAGAGGACCTTCCCGCTGCTGATGTCGTTGCCCTTCATGTTGACCACCAGGAAATGGTGCCACTCCCTGTACTTGGGGTCTTTCCTGCTAGGGGCATCCGGGTCTGTGAGGACCAAGGTATAGAGTTTGCCCGGGTCGAGGCCGTCCCACGAGATGCTGCTGGGTCTGTTCTTCACCTGGGTGGGCGTCAGCACTTGGCCCAGCTCGTCCACCTCCACTCCCGAGGCGTAGGAGACGCGCAGCGGGTGCTGGGGCCGCTCGTCCACCTCCTGCAGGCTCAGCGGCCCAGCCCACTTGCTGAGGTCGGCGGGCATGGCGAGGGGCTGCGGTGGCCGTTGGGTGCGAGCTGCAACCCACGTGCTTCGCTGAGAGCTGAGTGGTGACCGCACGCGCGCCCTGCAGCTGCGGGAGCACACCCCTTTGATTCTCCTATACCTCAGTGAACAGAAAGATACCGAACAGGCTCTCAATAAATGGAGCTCGCTCCATGTTTGTGGATCAGACTTAGGAATTATCAGGAAATAACTGTCCTTGAAGACGGTCTGTAGATTCCATGAAATGACTATCCAAACCTCAGCTTCTTTGTAGAAACCGCTGAGTTTAAATTTTGTGTAGGTGGATCTGCAAGGAGCCAGGGTAGTTAAAACTATCTTGAAGAAGGAACACAGTTAACGGATGTGCGTGTTTTCTGATGTAAAAGTCAGCACAAGGCAGTAAGTAGTACTGAGGCAGTGGCACACTAGCATAATGGGGGACACGGGGACCTGTGCTCTAGAGTTGCATCCAGACGGACACCCGGGTAGAGTGATTGTCAGCAAACACACTCACGCCCTCAACAGGGGACAGAATAGTTTTAAATAAGTGGTTCTGAAATCACTGGACATTCGCATGCAAGAGAAGAATGCTGGGCCCAACTGCACGTCAGATACAAGTTACCGGAAAACAGAGCAAGGACCTAAACGTGAGCGTAGAGTTTTATAAATTCATTTATTAAACTATTAGAAGAAAACATAGGGCTAAATTTTTATGACTTTGGGTTCGATGATGGATCCTCAGCTATCACATCAAGATGTGCGTTAGGAAGATGGCTCAGTGGATAAAGGCACCCACGAGAAGCCTCATGACCCAAGTTTGGTCCCCAGGAATTTGTTCTCTGGTCTTGGTACACAAGACCCCCACACACACACACTCATACACACACAAAAATTAGATTTCATTGAATTTGAAATATATTCTGTGTTTCCAAAAGTTTTATTAAGAATGAGGAAAGTCAGGGGTGGGCCAGCATAATGGCTCATTAGGTAAAGGCATCTGCCGTCAACGTATCTCTCCGAGTTTGATTCCTTGGCTCTATATGGCTGAAGGGGAGGACTAACTCCCACGGTTGACCTCTGACCTTTGCACACATATATTAACACACCTCCCTTAACATCCACATTAAATGATTTTTTAAAAATGTACTTTAAAAAACAAGAAAAGGGAAAATATAAAATGGATTTTTAAACATCTTTGTAGGTCATATATTTTGGTAAAAAGTCTTATATCTTGGGTCTATAAAGGATATTTACAATTTAATGATAAATTCCAACTAATCTAAACAATGGGTCAAGACTTTGAGCAGACATTTCTCTTAAGAAGATACACGAATGGCCAAGGGCATGTGGAAAGATGGTAGACACTGTGGGCAGGCCGTCAGGAAACTGCGAAGCAATATTGTAATGCCAGCACATACCCACACAGGTTGACTAGAACAGAAAGAGCTAAACACAGCAAGTGCCCCTGGGTGCATGGAAAAACAGATGCCCCCATCGACTCCTGCCGGAGATGAGAAATGGTACTGTTTGCTCCTCAAGTGACTGCCCATAAAAGTTACCTTACCACCCGGCATCAGTTTCTGAGTATATACCCAGGAGAAGTGAAAATATATACCCCCATAAAAAGCTGTGTGGCAGTGTTTACAGTGACAGTCCTCACAATAGCCCAGGGCTGGAAGCAAACCAATGTCCATGAATGGATGGATGGATAAGCAAAATACACCCAACAATGGGAACAGAATTCTACTCAGCCATAAAAGGAAATGAAGTTCTGATACATGCTGTACCACGGATGGACTTTGAAAACATGATGATGGCGCACATACCTATCGTTTGGAAAATACTACGCCCTGGGCCAGTGCAAAGGCTCGGCGGGTAAAGGTGCTTTCCAGACAAGCCCTGTGACCTGAGTTCCATCCCCAGAGACCACAGAATGGAAGGAGAGAAGAGACTGATAAAGCTGTTCTCTGACCCTCATCACACCATAGCATGTGAGCCCCGCCCCCCCACAATCATAAATAAATTTAAAATTAAAAAACCCCAGTCTCTATGAATCTATGTCTGTAAAATACCTCTAAAAGGCAAATCTTCAGAGATGATTGCTTTGTGTGGCAGGCTGGAGAAATAAGGAGCTGACAGCTAAAGGGCACAGGATTTCTTTTGCCATGAGGAAAAATATTCTCAGCTTGAGGGTGTCGATGGCTTATATGAATCTATCCTAAAAAGTCACCAAACTCTGCCTTTAAGGGGTTGAATTATACAGCACGTGTAGTGAAAGTTTTTATTTCCTTTAAAACAGACACATGAGAGGGCACATGATCTTGGTCAGCTGAAAACAGACGAGTGAGAGGGTGTTTTGCTGGAAGCTGTCTTGTGCAAGAGGCACAGTTTTTAAACAGCTCTGTGTGGGCTCCGAGAGGAGATAAGTGGAAGCCTGTGGACAGGGAGACAAGGCCTTTGAATTGCTACATTTTGCAATGGTCCATATTGCTTCTCTGGTCTTTGTTTTTTGACATGTCACTTTGCAAAGAGAAACGCTCCAGAACTTCTGGTGGCATTCCACCTGAGTCTTGTGGCTTTCTATGACTCCTTTCAAATCAGTAGAGTCTTGCTGTTTCTGCTGAATTGTCCCACTGCTGTTGATTTGTGTTGCTGTTTGGTGTTGGTTATTTGGCTGGACTTGCCCCAAGGAACTGTGTCTGAAAAGGTCTACAATCCCCTTTTCCTAATAACCTTCTTTCTCCCCTACCTCTGGTCAGTGGGTTGGAAGAAAGGTAGTGAAGAGTTTAAGTTAGCCTGAATATAACTCCATTTTGAAATAAAGATTTTGACTGGGAACTGAATTCAGGTACCAGGAAATATCACAGAATGTTCACCTGGCAGAAAACAAAGTTAACTCTCCTAACAACAGCCTCCAGGAAATATCACAGAATAAATGCTTCATAGAAAATAGAGACAATCTCCCTGGCAATAATCAATGGGAATCGGTTGAGAATCAGGTGGGAAAATTCTCCCCAATGTTTCAGATGTGGTTTAGAAAAATAGCCATTGTGATTATATGCCTTAGCCATTGTGATTGTGTGCCTCAGAAGAGGTCACCCCGCCCTGCTAAACTTCACCCAATTCTGTAACACCAAGGCTTGTGCCCCCCTGCTTGCTGCCATGGAAACCCCCTGCTCACAGACTTTCCCTTTAAAAATCCTGTTCACTCAGAGATCAGGGTCCCATTTCTCTACTGCTGTGTCAGAGAGACTTGGGTCCCGAGTTTGATCGCTCTGGTAATAAAGCTCTCTTGCTATTGCATCGAGTCATCTCCTGGTGGTCTCTGAGGGTCCTGTGAACCTGGCATTACAGTAGAAGTGTTTAAGAACCCTACATAAAGTAGGTTTTTTGAAAAATCTAAAGACTACAAGCATGTGAATTATATTTCCATTATGTAAAACAAACAAAGAACCAAAAGGCACTGGCAGTGACTTGAGGTATCTGAATGCTCTCAGGGGAACGGAGGGCCTTCCTTCTAGCTAGTCCTGCCTGTTGTCAGGTGGGTGTCGCTTGTCACCATGTGGGCTTGTCCACTGGGACACCGAATGTACTTACAGACAGCAGCTGTCTTCCCCAGAGAGGGTGACCCAAGACAGATGGGGTGAGAATTGCAACATCCAAGACAGCCTAATCCTGGAGACTGCACTCCGTCCTTCTTGCAGAGTTCTACTGATGACACAGGGCAACCCTACTCAGTGTGGAGAGGCTAGCCAAGGGTGAGAACACCGAGGGTGACAATCATTTAGAAGCAGATGGAGCCTGGCCTGCATCCGAGTGTGGGAGGCTTTCATTATGAACTGGAACCATAAGTATAAGACGCTTGGTAAATGTTAACCTGCTAGGTAAATATTAAATATCCATTTTATTGTTGACCTAGATTGTGCAAAGCTAGATGTGGCTTATTCATATTTGATGCTTTATTCACTCAGAGCTCTTACAGAGTCCTAGGATTCTGGGACTATTGGCCAAATTGAGGTACATTTAAAATTGTATTTATTTTATTTTATTATTATTATTTCTTGAGACAGGGTTTCTCTTCGTAACAGCCCTGGCTTTCCTGGAACTTGCTTTGTGGCCCAGACTGGCTTCAAACTCACAGAGATCCTCCTGCCTCTGCCTCTCCAGTGCTGGGATTGAAGGTGTCTGCTTGCTGGCGCTGCTGCCCCTGCTATGGCCACCACCACCCCTCACATTTTATTTGTTTATGGTTGTGTGTGCAGAGCTCAAAGGGTGTCTTGAGGGAGTCAGTTCTTCTTGTTAGGTCCAAAGGAAACTCTATTTCTTCACATTCCAAATGGCCATCAGTGATGCCTTTCTGCATTGCACAGCACACGCTGGCCTCCAGGCTCCCTCAGTGCCACAAGTACCTGTTACTCATTTCAAAGTCCACGCTAGCCCTTCTCACTTCCTCCCCTGCCCAAACCTCCCCAGCTCACAGGCTTCCCTTCCCTCAGCTACTCCTTATAACTCTGCCATTTGGGCTATACTGGCTCTGTCTCCCTCTCTCTTCTTCTCTCCATCTTCCTCTTCTCCATGTCTAGTCTCTCTCTGCTCTCCTACCTCCACCCCAGTCTTCTGTTTACTTTCCTCTGTAAGTTTCTCCCTCCCTCCCTCCCTTCTTCCCTCCCTCCCTCCCTCTCTCCCTTGCTACTTTCTTTCTCTCTCTTGTGCTTCTGCTTCTCTCATGGCCAGGACCTGTTTGCCGGCTTTGATAAGTCTACTTACCCTCTCTGCTCTGGACTCTTTCAGATGGCTCTGCTGTTCTCTCTCATATCTACAAATTAAAGCTTCCCTTTAATCAGACCACGGATCAGTCATAACTTCATTTACACCCTTTCCTTCCACCATGTATGTTCCAGGGATTGACCTCAGCCTATTGGGCCCGGTTGCAAGCACTTTTACTTGCTGAGCCATCTCACCAGCCCCCATGAGGTATACTTTTGAGACTCTGTGTCTCT